CCGCGCAGCGCGCACTGCGATCATCGGCCGACGTTGACGTCTGCACACGCACCGCCGCTCAGTTCTTCGGCAGCGACGGAGTCATCCTGACGGGTTCGCCACAGGGCGTCGCCACCAGTTGCACTCAGAAAAGTTTAAGGGGGGTAGGAGAAGAAACAGAGAGTCGATAAATACCGATACATGACTTCTATTGAGTTCTATGCTTGTACGGCGCCAAAACACGGGGAGAGCAAATGCGATTGCGATTTCAATAGTTAGTCGAAGGATGTTATGAAACGGGAGAAATGTAAGAGAGGACCAAGCGGGATTATGTCAATAAGAAGGTAGCACCAGGTAAGGGATGGTGTTATAACAACAATAATAATTTGTCAGGGAGAGATGAGAGAAGAAGTAGGTGATTGAACAACAATAATAACAAGAGAGAGTTGAGGCGATAATGGTACTGCGAACAACGCCAATAATGCAATGAGTGTAGGGATGCATCGCTAAAAAAAAAGCAACAAAGAACACGTAGAAAGAGAAAGAAGAAAGAAGAGAGAGATAGAAGAAGAGAGATGAGAGAGGAGGAAGAGAGAAGGGGAAAAGGAGGAGAGAGAGAGGAGAGAAGAGAGAGAGAAGAGCCGAGACGAGAGAGAGGAGAGAGCGAGAGAAGAGAGCAGAGAGCAAGATGAGATGAGAGAGAGAGAAGAGAGAGACGAGAGCTCGAGAGCACTGGAGAGAGGAGAGAGAGAAGGAGAGAGAGAGAGCCGAAGCAGAGAGGAGAGAGAGGAACAGAGAGCTTTCGAGAGAAGAGGCAGAGAGAGAGAGAGAGAGAGATTGAGAAGAGAGAGAGAGAGAGAGAGAGTTCACGAGCAGAGAGACGAGAGACGTGCGAGAGAGAGAGATAGGTGGGTTGGAAGAACTAGCCCAAGTAATTACAGAGCCCACCCCTACGCAGCCCACCCTCTACGCACACCAGCCCCCTACGCGTGCGCACACGGCCACACACAGCAGGGCAGACTAACTAGGCCCGTGACATCAGTTATGGGTGGCCCGCACCCAGGCCAGCCAAAAAGCCAATGCCAGATTACGCAAACACAGACGCCACGCTGCTCTGCCTAATGTTGATCAACTCCCGCGCGACAAGATGCACTAACAATCCACAGCCTGCTAAATATACACTCACACGGGGAAGGCCTCCGACCAGCAGGCGTGTAGGAAGACAGTCCCTTAGTTAGAGCCCAGGCATCCACAACTGAAGATTAACGCGACGTTACGTGGCGTCTGTGTAATCATTCTGTGTCCTCTTCTCTGTTTATATCCTGGGCCCGGACGGAGCGGCCTGATTTGAAGACTTGATGGCTCAACTCACACTCCTCTGCGAATCTTCTTTTTGTATTGTCATACGTCAAACCCAACCATACATGTCAATTTTCGATGTGAAATTGCAAAGTGTAAATATCTTCGAAGCGTGCAACTTGACGCTTTGAGTGACCCTGCCTTCCTCTGTACGGCACCGGGCAGCTGGGCCGTTGGATATTCCTGTGCGTCATCGCTCCGGCACGCGTGAACAACCGGACAACTTTCACACGTACGCCGGCCACAGCCGACGCCCTCATGCGTCGGCTCACACTTCAAGAAGGAGGTCGCTGGAGCGCGGGACCTGTCTGTCCCGCGCCGACTGGGTGAGTTCTATGGACAGGGTGACGCCACCTAAGGCACGCACCATCTGACGCTCTGAATGCAATAGACAGGGTGCGACACCTTACCACAACCGATCTGCGCTCTGTGAAGATGGATAGGTGCGCCACCTTATGCACCACCGATCTACGTCGTGATGGATAGACAGGGTGCGCCACCTACGCACCACCGATCTGCGCTCGTGAAGGATGGATAGGGTGCGCCACCTATGCACCACCGATCTACGCTCGTGATGGATGGACAGGGTGCGCCACCTACGCACCACTGATCTACGCTCGTGAAGGATGGACAGGGTGCGCCACCTACACACCACTGATCTACGCTCGTGATGGATGGACAGGGTGCGCCACCTACGCACCACTGATCTACGCTCGTGATGGATGGACAGAGTGCGCCACCTATGCACCACCGATCTACGCTCGTGATGGATGGACAGGGTGCGCCACCTACGCACCACTGATCTACGCTCGTGATGGATGGACAGGGTGCGCCACCTACGCACCACTGATCTACGCTCGTGATGGATGAACAGGGAGCGCCACCTACGCACCACTGATCTACGCTCGTGAAGGATGGATAGGGTGCGCCACCTATGCACCACCGATCTACGCTCGTGAAAGATGGACAGCTTACTAGAAGACGTTTGCTACCTGTGCTGCACTGATCTACGCTCGTGAATGATAGACAGGTGCACCACTTGATCACTATCCATCACTCCCATAATCGTTCTTCATTATAAAATTAAGCCATTTTTTGTGTAAATGAAAATATTTTTAATAAAATTGCTTGAAAGCCACACTGTAGAAAAATTACTTCCGCTCCCTTGTAATCTCTTTCATTTCTGAAAGCACATCGCATGCACTAGCTATTTCTATACATAACACATGCAGTCTCATAGGGTAGTATAGGTACAGTAATACATTATAGAGATTTAGACACCAGAAGATTGCTAGTGAAGGTCTTGATTTACACACAGTTTCACATTGTCATGTTTTTTGATTGTCACTGCATTCACGATATTGGAATCAACACAGTTCTATTCAACCATCTAAATTTGAAAATAGTAGAATCATGCATTGTTTTTGCCTGGGTTATAAAAATTAGTAGCCGTAAAGAAATATGTAGTTTATGCAGTGTTTAATGCACACACAGCAAGTAACTCTCTCGTCTTTGGTAAATATTAATACATGGAGTGTAAACAATGAAGGTGCCTCAATACTTTAAAGTTAGTTTTTATCTTAAAATTAATTAGTAAAATTCGGACTGTCACATGACCATAGATATATAATCTATAAAAGCTTCATACCATAATGCTGAGGGCACAATACCGCTGCATAGCAATTCATTTCATGCAATGAAAATGAAGATGCAAAATCCATCAAAAATACATAGATTTGATCAGACACACACACTAGCTACTAAGACAATCGCGTGCATACGTAAATAATTTTAATGTAAACACTACTAATACTAGTATGTAAATGCATAATTTTCGTACTGAGATTCTTATGAAAGCATCAACAACGCAGGGATAAATTCACGAGCAGAAGACTTGATTCGAAGGTACCTGCCTCGCTGTTACCGCTCTATCACACTGATTAGGTTTGTGTTACGCTCCTCACAGGATACATGATGGGAGGAGGAGATGTGATGAAGGAAGCCAAAGACAGGCAGGGGAGGAAGGTCCATGATCTCTTACCGTCGGTAGTTTTCGCACGGCAGCAGCGGGAGGTAACGAAGCTTGATGCTTGGCAGCCGGTGAGATCGGTTTAGCTGCGGCGTGCGGGTTGCATGATTGTGTTCCTCCTGCTCGTTCGCTTACCACTGGGGTGCGCCATCTTGTTGTGCTTATTGCACTGGCGCCTCTTGACTCTGAGACGAAAAACAGAAACACCCCTTGAGTGAGATGCTTGTCATTGACGTTTGTGGTCAGTATTGTGACACAAACAGTTGTGAAGCAAAACTAAAATCATAACTCACAGAAAAATTAGGTAAATGTGCCAAGATTGCCCTGGTAGGGTTTGAAATATTTCAGATTTACTGACACAAGTTTCCACAGGACCACTAGAAACACCGGCCTCAGACCTCAGATTAATTCGGTGCCAGGTGGCAACAGCGGCACTTGCTCATTTTTGTGACATAGCAATAATCTGACCCCTGATATTAGTCACTCGGTTGATGAGCCGAGTTAGCTTACCTGGCATTCTCCTGCTTGGCCTGGCGTATCCTGTGCAGGGATGCGGTCTTGGCCTGCTGCCCGTCAACCATCGACGTGAGCCTGAGGGATGTGCGGCGTGGTGACGGCTGCGTGACGACCGTGGCTGACACTGCTGCCGGCGTACCCTCTACTACAGATGCCGGAATGAAACAGGAATGACAGGTGAGGGTGCGTGGCAGCAGGATGTGACGTTATCGCCAACTATAGATTGTGGGGTGACCGCCATACCCCGCTAGTGTGGAGCATAATCAACTCATCCGCCCGGCACGATCGACAGGCAGTTCTAGTGAATCAACGTTGCGATAGGAAGTTCCAAAAACATTGCTTTGCAACAAAGTTCCACAAAGTTGATATTCCGGCGCGTATACGTACGAACAGGGTCAGCTGACTGTCCGGGAAACAATATCCAAGGTGATTTTAGTTATCTCAATTAGGCATAGAGGTAAATTCATCAAGCCCAGAATAAAAACAGTCACCACTCTTTTCAAAGTATGGCAGAAACGCGGAACACCTTTGTGTGACAAAGAGGAACTTACCTCGAGTCTCGCTCTCCTCTTCATGATTACTAAATGTTTGCTGCACCTCCATGCTTGCAGTTGGTGGCATGACATCTTCCATCTTAGTATCATCATCTAAAGACAATAAATCCTCATTTACATTATATGTAATGATTTACGACTGTCTGTGCACTACATTTTTTCCTTGCTTTAAATAAATATGTATGTATTACCATAATATGTCGATATATAACCACATCACTTGAATTGCCTAAATTCACCAGAGATTACTATTATCACACTATACATACATATATATAGTGGGATATAGTCAGTACGATAACAAACCTCGTTTATTGATTACAACCCAGTCTGCATCCATAGAATGGTCAGCCAGCTTTATTGGACATGATGCAGGCGGGTCAATCCCCGTGACTGGTGCTTCATCTCCACTAATTTCATGTTTAGCTCCAAATATGAAGTTTGCTATATTAGTGAACATGGCTGCATATCATTGAGTAAAATCCCCTCTCGGTGTATACTGTAAATAAACAACGGTAACTAATGATTAGTCGATTGTTGGCAATGTATAATGATGTTGTATCAGTGTTAGAGCTTTAAAATAAAAACCACTCGCCAAACTGGGCGAGTGAATCACTAAGTTAACTCGCCCAAACGGAATCTGTACTTGCACAAATTTTAAAACAAAAATGCTTGTCAAACAATAGTGAAGAAACACACAAAAAAATTAACTGCACATGTAATTCATTGATCACGTTTCTCAAAAACTCAAGGCACATCTCCTCTGAAAGTTCGTGTTTTCAATTTCATTTAATTTACTTTTATTCTCGGGCTGCTTTGCCCCATCAATGAAACGCCACATTACGCCAATTTTATTGACTTGTTAACACCAAGGCGAGCCAGTAGTAGTGCCGTCGCTACACTACCCACGATGCGTACAGGGCAAGAAATTAGCCAAAATGTGAACAGGCCCACCCAAAACTTTAGCAGGCCCTTAGACAAATGGAACAGGCCCTTACAAGTTTGAAATGTTAATTGTGTTCAATTTATTCCATGATTAATAAAAGTATTAGCTTTGTGTTTATTAGGCATACCAGGCTTGTCACAAGTTTTTAATGTAGCAGGGTAAACCAAGAAAGTAAGCGGCTGTCTGCTGCCGCAGGCTGCACCCGAACAGCAAAGCTGCGAGGGGGTTGGTTCAGGAAGTGGATCCTGATAAGTGGGCGTCAGGGGGCCCTCCCCAGAATGTTTTTTGAAAATTACACCTCTTACACTCTTAGATGCATGATTTCCTGCAGCTCTGAGACAGCATTAGTTAAACAATCTTTATGTACACAAAAATATACTGTTTGAGTTGAGGTATTTTAGATTTGGGGACACTAAAGACTAAACATAACTTTTCTTAACGAAGTGCCCGCAGAGCGAACAGCGCTTCATCTAACGTCTACTGGCGGTGACTCTGTGGTGGAGTGGTGATTCTAGTAAACGCCTGTCATCCCAAATGTGTCAACCAACTGCGAAACAGTGGAAGTCACAGTGGGATTGTATCAGGAACCTTCTCAATAAGAATGTCGTGGGATCGTTATGAAAGTTCCGAACGATATGGCCGCGTACTCGTTCACAGTGTCTTCAGACATTAAACGATGGAAGCTCATCATAACGTAGTAGCAAAACTATTCTGCAAGCCAGAATAGGTAAGCACTCATCATTTACACTACGGCAAGCCTAGCAGGCTGCAATAGAGAGGCTGGCCACCTTAAACCAATTAACGCAGGCAAAAACTCCACCAGTACTAACCGACACATGCAGCTGGCAGTAGCCACTGCAAGTGGCATACCGTTACATGTAACATACTGACAGTACATGACTGCATAGAAATTATACGATTAAGGAGCATAAACTTCTTTAACCAAAATTAGCTTTTGAAATTTCACGTGACGATCGTATGCCTCATACATCCAGGCAATGTAATAGATTTCTACCAGCAACGCCGGCAGTCAAACTTTCTTAACAGACAGTCAACAAATCCATGTTTAATCGCCTCTCTCTTGAGGGTCAAAAAGGTTATGCTGCCACTTACTCTTCGCATGTCAGCAGAAAGTAATTTTTCATGGTCCTTGTCAATAATGCCATAACAATGCTAGGTCACCGCATGAAACAAAAAAGTTTTCCAATCGGCTCCGTCAGACCATGCCTCAGAAAATGTCTAAAATCTGCCCTCGTGCCCTTGACGCTGTGACGCTCCAATTTTTCGCAGCAGTGATGGCTTTCTAACCATGATCTATACACCGGACTATCACGAGCCTAGGTCGACCCGTTTAGATTTGTTCGCAATTCTGCATTTCCTTCCCTATACCTTAAGTTAAGGAGTAATGTTCCCGCTCCTTTTTTACAACCTCTTGACACACTTTGACCATTTGACCGCCAGCTTCGACCATCCCCAACCTCGTTTTTGACTGATCCCCCCGATGTGCCGAATATTCGGACGTACGTCACGTTAAAGGATTTTGTGCCTAACTGTTGACTGGACGGACGCACGGACGAACGCACGGACCGATCATGCGATTCTAGAAGCTGCCATCTGAACATAATGCAGATGAGCTAAAAAAAAGAGAAAACATGAACTTTCAATTGCTGAGCGGTTGAACTGCTCAGTCTCTGATGACTGTAGTTTGTGCGGGTACACGATGCTAAGTGCAAAGTAATTGTGGGTTAAGAAGTTAATCTATCGGCCAACTTGAATAGCTAACACGCAGTCTGCAACGGAAAACACTTCCACCCTCAAATTGGCCCAGCGGTGCCTGTAGAAATGTACTAATTCACCTGGCCTCACACTAGGTTTTACAGGCCCGAATCAATGATATTCATATTATAAAAGGAGAAACGAACGGACGGACGGAAACCGAAGTTGTTGCGACTTCTAGCGGCGACAAACACGCAATGTGTTGACCGCTAGTTAGCTTCCCTAACTTAAGATCGGGCAATATGATGCCCTATCGGTAAATATCGGTAATTTTCAATACAAATTATCGGGAATTTTGGTGAAATTCTCAGACTGATCATCACATAAAGGAAGACTGAAAATGTCATTTTAATTATACCATTACTTCAATTTTTATCCGCACCTGGCCCAGTGCGGGCTTGTTGCATCTTGACCGAAGTTTCATGTGCCCCTACGGAACCATTTACTGGCCTCGGGATAACCGATGCTCAGTGGTTAATTTCAGCAGACTGAACATGGCCTCGACGCTTACATTATTTTCAGATCAGATAAACTATATCATATATAAGACAGATAGATAGCTACATATAGATATGATAGATCTATTATTAAGAATATAGAGATAATATATCGAGCATTAATACAGCCCCTGAATTACTAATATTATTATACATGGAAAATCCGCGAATGAAATTTCACTGAAACTTATCTATTGCGTGCCGGTGTCACAGGTCTGCAGATTACCCCCGATGTCTGAAATTACCCCTAGCACCTCGCGCATGCCGTGGCGCATGCGCAGTAGCGGCTGGATAATGAGACTGCCGCCGGGCCACAGTCTGAGATTAGTTCTGGCAGAAGGAGGGTCAATTCAGACTGGGGCTAACTCAGACCCGGTGTCACGGTCTGAGATTACCCCTGCAAATGTCTATCCCTGTGTGCGCCATAGGCTTTGGGTAAATTCAGACCTGGGGTAATCTCAGACCCGGTCGTGGAATTGTTCGCTGAGGCACATTATACTTCTTACCCCGGCTGCGCCATAGAGGGTTGAGGAAGGAGGAGGAGGGGAGGAGGGGATAAGGACGGAGGAGAGGAGGAGAGAGGAGGAGGAAGGAGTAGAAAGGAGAAGAAGGTGATGGAGGAGGGAGGAGGAGGAGGAGGGCGAAAGGTGATCGAGGAGGAGATGAGGGGGAGGAGAGAAGGTGATGTGAGGAGGGAGAGGAGGAGAGGAAAGGTGATGGAGAAGGGAGAGGAGGAGTGAGTGGCCGAGAAGGTGAAATGGAGAGAGAGAGCGCAAGGAGGAGGAGAGAAGGTGATGGAGGAGGGAGAGGAGGAGAAGGAGAGAGGCGAGGAGGGGAGAACAGGTGATGGAGTAGGGAGGGGAAGAGGAGGGGAAGAAGGTTGATGGGAGGATGGGAGGAGGAGGAGGGGGGGAGGTGTGGAGGAGAGGAGGGGAGAGAAGATGATGTGTAAGGGGGAGGAGCGGAGTGGAGGAAGATGGAGGAAAGGGAGAGGGGAGAAGATGATGGAGTAGGAGGGAGGAGGAGGATGCGGAGATAGGTCATGGAGATGCGAATGATGGTGATGGGAGGAGGAGTTGGGGCAGGAGAAGAGGAGGAGAGAGAGGAGGACGGAGGGGAGACGGTGATGAGTAGGGGGACATGAGCGGGAGAAGGATGATGGGAGGAGGAGAGAGGGAGAAGGTGGATTGGAGACGAGAGAGAGGGGAGAAGGTGATTCGAAGTAAGGAAGAGGAGAAGGAGAGAAGTGATGGAAGTAGGGACGATGAGGGGAGACCGTGGTTGAGGTAGGTGAGCAGGAGGAGGAGGCAGGGGAGAAGGTGATCGGAGTAGGCTGGGGAGGAGGAGAGGAGCGGAGAAGGTGATGGAGATCGAATGATGGTGAGGAGAGAGTAGGGCAGGAGAGGGAGGAGGAGGAGGGGAGAGAAGGTGATGCATTAGGGAGGCAGGAATGGAGAAGAGGAGGAGGAGGAGTGAAGAAGGAAGGTGATGATAATGGGGGATGAGGAGGGGGAGGAAGGAGGGGGAGAAGGAGAAAAGGAGAAGGTGATGAGGATGGCGGAGAAGAGGAGAGATAAAGGTGATGGAGTAGGGAAGGAGGAGCTAGAGGAGGAGAGTGAGTAGGGAGAAGGGAGCGAGGGGAGAAGGGATGCGGAGGAGGAGGAGGAGGAAAGGAAGAAGGTGATGGAGGAGGAGGGTAGGGGGCAGATGGAGGAGGAGGACGGAGGAGAGGGAGAAGGTGAATGGAGTCGAGCAGAGGGAGGGAAGATGGGAAGACGCGGGGCGGGGAAAGCTGTAGAGAAGGAGGGGGAGAAGGGAGACAGCTGATGATGAAAGGAGGAGACAGCTGGTGAGAAGGAGGAAGCTACGACCAGTTGCTCCCCCTCCTCCTCTCCCACAGACTTCTCCCTTCTCTCCGTCCTCTTCCAC